CTTGGAAGTTGTATTAGTTCTGATTGTAGTGTGACAGATGAGGTGAATGCACGAACCTGCAAGGCTTGGGCCGCGGTTGCTAACTTGGGACACTTATGGCGTCAGAATGGTTTATCTCTGAATCTGAAGGGACGTGTGTATCAAGCTACAGTACGGGCTGTTTTGTTGTATGGCTGTGAGACTGGACCTGTTCGAGCAGCGGAACTGAGACATCTTCAGGTTGTTGTTGTCTCAGAACCATAGATCTTGTTAGTCGTTATCGTAGGATCCGTAATGAGGCAGGTAGAACGTCCGTTTTCGGTTGTTCAATGGCTCCATTGAAGAATGTGTCCAGCACCAGAAGCTGCGTTGGTTGGGACATGTGTTTCGTATGCCTAGCCATCGTTTACCGAAGAGTGTGGTGTTTTCCATGTCAACTCAGATTGGCGGAAGCACTGAGGCTGCCAAACCTTGGGCTAGCATAGGGGTATGAAAAAACACGAAGCGCTTCGGTGCTGTCGGTGCTACTCACCTTTCAGGATGTGGACACGCGATCCTCACTGCGCCTGGTTGAAGACACTGCAAGATGTGGCTGCCGACCGATGTCAGTTGCGTTCTTGTTGTTAGTTTCTATACAGATCGCCGAGTGAATATCTAGAGGTATATGCACCCCGGAATGATTGTGGTAAGCTGGCACTAAATCCCTTCTCGGTCCACCTTTACTCTTTTCTTTACAATAAGTAAGGCAAATAAATCATGGGTGTACGGCAGTGAAGCATCGGTGTTGAACACTGATGTCATACTGTCGATGATGATGATGACTGTATTACAACTGGAAACGTGTTTTACTACGGAAAACACAAAATGTCTCCGTCAAAATCGAACTTTCAATGTCAGCAATGATTGTGCATTGTTTGAAACATACCCGGGACAATAATTGAAGTTTACCTTGTTACCTCTTTTCCAGTAATATATCAGGTTTCGTATTGTGTGTCTGAAGTAACGATAATACCTCAGCTCATTAATCTGTCTGGTACTCTGAAGTGTGCTGGTAGAACAGCAATGAAACTGCAAAAGGTGGATTCACAGCCAAAACAAGACAAAAACTGTACTAATCTACCTTATTTGGGTGGAACACAGCTGCAACAATGGAGGACCAGCTCGCTTGTGCAAGTGAAACCTGGAACTTGCGCCAAGTGATGGTGAAATATGATGAGTTACTGGACTCGCATTATTGACCATTCGGAGCGCACCTTGATGCCAGACCAACTTCGTCGATCGATTTTTCCACCAGCCACTTGCGAAACAAGGCCCGTCGGTTGTTAAAACACCCTAGTATACAAGTTCAGGCGGTTTGGTTGCCTGTTACTGACTGTTACTGACTTTGACCTCACGGTATTAATTGTCCTCTTGGCTTCAACGTCCTCCTTCGATCATTGCTCTTGGTACAGGTTTTCATTATCTGTTTTCTCACAGAGCTATCCAGTTGATGCGTTAACTGCTCCCCAACAGGAAGTGCTTCAGCAGATGCGCGAACTTGGTCTTGCGTATCAGCGGAAACGTACTGCCCCGCGCTTCTATGTCACACCATTGGCTACCGTTCTCTCTGGATCCCGATGCCACCGGCCTGCGATGTCTTCAGGTTCTGTCCTCAATGCCATACCGACAGGAGTATCGCATCTCGACGGTACAGACTCTGTGCAGCCGACCGCGTCCAGCACAAGTGATGTCGGCTACATTTTGCTGGAAACCAATTTTCGACTTTATGCTTACACAGGTTGGTCGAACCGGACTGCACGTGTTGTTTAACAGTAATCGTCCTGTGTGCAAACGGTCACGCCTCGCCGTTGTTCCATCTGTGTCATGCATAGCCATTTTGCTGTGCTACTTTTTGTGCCGATACCTCCCTATTAGCATTGATTTTCAACCTTGAGTCCGCGTTTATTCGTTTCTCAGTCATCTCAAATTGGTGCTTCTTGCCTTTGAATGACTCGACTTTGAATGAACTCTACCTCCACATATCCAGTGTTCCTAGCAGGGATCAGTTAGACAAACATTCGGAAACGGAGCCTTTTAAGGCATACTCAGACTTACTAGTTATTTCATGCTTCATATCACTAGTTATCTCTGTTTAAACCACTGATGTCTTTCTTCATTCCCATCCACCATCGCGTGTCCCAGATTCTCCCCTCCGAACAGCCTTACTCAGTTTGTTCAGTAAAATTCGTGCCCGATTCCCGAATCTTGTAGTCGCAGATATCACGCGTGACTCAGTTCGCGAGGCACTGATCCGTGGAATCACAGCTGACCAGGTAGGTGCTGCCCGCACTCACCATGACCATGCTCTACTCTGTTTAGATTATTTCCTTCTTGACAACAAATGCTCATCCGGATATGCTTCGTGAGGTAAGCGTGACATTGAAAATGGGGTTTGTTGTGTCTTTTTTGCTGATTTTGATTGCTCTCACATACTACGCTTTTTTCACCGAATCGTCACCCGCGGAAGTGTGGCAATACTTTGACGGATTGGGGCACTGAGATGTTTCTTATGTAATGTTTTTCTACTTTCATGGGTAAACACTCGCTGCTGTCGCCCATGCACCTTTTACTGAATAGTGTCGTTGATTACCAAGCACAGGAATACTAGGCAAACGCCCGCCTGTGGCTGCCATGCAACTCGATCGAATTACGAAGGCCGATAAACTGCCACGTTGCCCAAGCTTAAATAAGAACTGTCGAAAAGCCAGGTTGGTTGAAACGCTGACCTTCTGGTTATTGGATTCACTGCTTAGGTGTCTCAAACTCTGTTCATTATTCTCCAGGAAAGACCTCTGAAGGGAATCCGCACAGTCAGAGGGAATTCACAGTGTTGTTGTCCGCCAACTACTCAGTGTGAGGTCCTGTCGAAGAGTGGATACTCTCTGGAAGGGGTCAAATAATGCCTCATTATGCTTAAATCTCGTTTCGTTATTACTCCCGTCCCGATAATTCCTGCAAACTCCTGGAGTGCATACCTTTTGACTAGTTTGTTCGATTCCTTCTCAACAGTATGGGACTATCACCCATGGAGTTCGATATCTTCCACGCAACGTCCCAGAATTTATAATTACAAGAGTGACTCAAAATCCCCACCCTGGTTTAGTCCTCAAATTTGATCACTATACCTGTTGTCTCGTTGGAAGGCCCCAGGCCTACACGAGAGACCGGAGCTTCAGCATATAGCTACCAACTCAGCTCTTTGTAGCACTTTCTGTACTTATCTTCCGTGGAATACTTTGATGTGAAGGTACAATGGAATTTGTTGGTAGGCTATCACCATCACACTTGTTTCGAGGGCTCCTCGCCAGTGTGTGTCGTTTTTATGTCTGTCACTGTTGTTGGTGGCAGTACTAATTGGCTTAACGATGGGGCGTATCATCACCGACTGTTGATATCAATCTTGTCGATTTGCCGTTCAGGCCGTTTATCTCGGCTGTCATATGGAACAGGCTTGATAATCGAAATTCCACGTTCCCACTACTTGAAAGACGTCGGTAGTATGTTCAAGAAAGCAAATAAAGCACAGTGGCATGATTGTCAATCGATTTCCTAGTTTACACCAAGTTTCATTTGAATGTCTTGCACAAATACTACTTCTAGTAACACATGGAACGACATTCGTGACGGGACGGCACTTATAGGTTTTCCAAAAGCTCTTCGACTGCCCACTTTCGGTTTCGCCTTTGTTGGGGCTCCTGAGTTGGTTTTAGTCTCTCAGTTTCCATCCAACCTGTTTCTTACTCCAACACCAGACTGCACCGTTAGGAAGTTATGTACTTATTTTCAAATTTACTTGGTGCCAGTGGTAAACTCAACTGAATATCCGTTTATAATTTATAATGGTACGATAATAGTTACGGCAACCCATCGTTATTTTTGAGGTTGGTCAACATCAAATACTTGCAGTTGAGCGGCAGTAGCCTTCAATCACGTACCTATCCAACCCTGTCATGTTAGATCGCGGAGGCTTGTGGATTTTGGTCTCTGCCGATGGTTCCCATCAATGATGGAACAGCTACGCAGTGCTTCTCGACTTTTCGGTATCGAACAAAATCCATTGGTAAAAAAAACGTTCAGCTGTAACACCCTTCCGGTGCCTAACTGTCATGCCACTCGGAGGAAGCACAAGGGATGGGATACTGCCAGGTCGTCCAAGCCTAGACAGGCGAAGTCGAGTTGCAGAGGTCGGGCCATCTCGCCCCCATTGGTCAGCGTTACTTGTATTAAACAAACTTCTTTGGTGTATGATATCTCCACCTAACTGCTGCGCTTTCAGAAGTCCTGGGAATCTGTGCGTGGTGCGACAACCAAGTTGTTCTGCATAACCCATTCGCGATGATCCTGACAAGCCTGTACAAGAAACTTCCAGTTCGGCGGGTAGTCCTCTCTGACTGAGAGTTGACATGACAATTGTCTCTGGTCATGGAGATTCGACTCAATTGCATACGTTTTTTTTTATTATTTTTGACTATATCTTATATTTGACGAGGTCTCCTTTCTAGTATCCCGCCCATCGTTTCTCTCTTTCCCCGCTAGCCTCCTATTCTCCCGCCCACGCTGGTCGACCAAATTCGTCTATGGGAATTGGAACGAGATCGTTTCGTATTTCAAGAAGGCTGTCTTTATGAACAGTTCTCGAAAAGTGCAGACTTTGAAATGGTCCGAGACTTTGCAAAGGTGAGTGAGTCCTTTAGATACAATTAAGGGTAGCTTTCCTACAAATATTCTCACTTGCATACAAATTTGGTTTTGAATGGAAACTCATCCGATTTTCCGGTTTATGATGGTCCGCTTCGTGTCGAAATCCTTCTGATTGGGGTTCGAGTAGAGTAGAAGGTTGAAAGGAAATCGGAGATAGCACCTATCTGATAAACAAAACCGGTTGAGGGCTATCGAAGCGTTTTCGGCAACCTTATGGGTAGTGTGTTATATTTAGCTAGTCTTGTTAGGGTTATCGTTGATGTCGTGGACTGTCGAGCGAATGCTAACTGGCTTGTTCTATGCTTCCTCCCATGAATGTGGAGTCCTGTCAGGTGTTTGTCTCACGCCGTCCTCCGTCATCCGTCTTGCTATTATCCCAGCAGTTTTTTCCGTAGATGCGTTATCACGGCTTCACACCAGTGAAACAGCATTTCTGAAACCTAACCTTGCTGTCTTGAATACTGATGGCTATCAGGTCTGGGCATCCCTACTGGGTATCGTCAGAATAACACTTGGAAACGTTTGTATGAAAAAAATTAAACACATATTAAGATCTTTTATGGCACATAGTTTGATGTTGTACAAGTGTTCTGCTTCCCCTTTTATTAGCTATAGCTGTGTGCATCACAAGACTGATAACAGGACTGGCACTTTGCCAACATATGATGCTGGTACATCTGGGCGTGAAGATCAGGTATCTCGGTAGGTCGTAAATTTACTGACTGCGTGCTTGGAATACAGGGTGGTGTGACGCAACGCGGAATGGAACCAAGGGACACGAGGACAAATGGATTTCTCCCGTTAACCCTGGCATTATCTCAAATAGGTGTCAAGGTATTCGCTCCTGGCCAAGAATTGCCTCGTATAAATGAATCGCTTTTGAACAAAAAGAGCGTGTCATCACCTTGTGGGTAGCACTGGTGGTTTTAAACACAAATTCCGTACATACTCCGTAACATTAGTACTAACCCACGGATGTCCATCTCCTTATGCGATCTCGTGTTTTTCGTGTCAGTTATTGGCGTACAGTAGATTCACAGAGGTGATTGCCGTCTCACTCAGTCGTAGACGTAGCGTCATCCCGCCACAGCTACTGGTAGAGTTCTCGATGTATTCCCCATCCATTTGAGCTTACTGTTTTGTAGCTTACGGGCGGAAAAGTCTAGAAGTGATCTACCGGAACCCTACTCGATATGTGAGTTTCGTCTTTCATTTTCAATATCTTATGGTGTTTGCGGTTCGTTTATTTGCTACTTTTCCAGAGCATTGGTGTTCTTTTGTGGGAGAATCCCGAACGACGCTTAATGGTTGTTTCCAAAGCCGGACATGAAGACGTGCGCAAATTTTGGAAGCAGAAGCGTCCATCTTGACCACCCTTCTCCCCCACACACTTCAAACAGAATTTGTACATATTTAATGAACAAATAAACTTTTTTCTATCTCAGAAAACATAGGTTACTTTGAGTGACTTGATGCGTACGGTTTTATCAATCCGGTTACTGCGTATCCGGCAGTATCCAGTTGAATTAAGTACTTAGAATGAAACTAATTCCTCCGGTCACTTTTACAGGTTTGGCCGTGTGTCACGAATTTATCTTGGCAATTAAGCCCAATTCAGAGTTTGTTTGCAAGGAATGTTTACATAAATCTCCCAAAGAGAGCCCACTCCGTCGCGAGAGTTCATCATTATTGATCCCGTTCCTGGTAACGGGTCAAACGTCCTTTCCTCCCTCCCCAGTTTAAAACGCAGATTGTGATTAGGAGTTTCGTGATTCGACTCCACCCGTGGCTTCTTCGTGAGACATTTCTATTCCTTAGTCATCCGGTTGCATATGATTGTACGGATTTCGAGTTGCACCGCGCATGGATGGATACCGGAGAAATTTTTATTTCCTTAGCATTGTTTTGGTAATTTTGGAACAGCTATGTCGCACTTTCCAGTAGCAAACTGTATGATTGCTACAGGATAATGTTATCTTATATGCAGTACACGCTGAATGAGATACAGTGAAATAGATCCAAGCATTGGGTAATACTGTACTACTTTACTTTCTGTTTGAGTTAGTTCTAAATGGTCCAAATCAGCTTGGTTTCACTTTTGTGGGAAGCCTGTCGATGAGTAACGGTACGGAAATTCTCTACGTTTGATTATGGAACATCAAATCAGGCCAACTTCGCACCCGGAAGTGAATTTGCTGTCTCTTCTGATAACCATTTTTGTAGGTTGCTTCTTTCCTGGATAGGTTAATGGTCACAAGCGAAGCTCCATACGTTGTGTCCCGTGATTCCATTACACGTGGTCGGTTTGTTTTGTCAATTCCCCTGTTGAGTGTGACTTACTGGCACAGCGATGTTTGGTGCTCTTTAGAAGAAAGAACTGAGTTCTCTTTCCTAAGGGAATACTTCTGATAAGTCACTATCCGTTTTGTTCTTGGGTCTCCTCCAGTAGGCGCAGACCTGAGTCTTCGTCAACTTTGTGTTCTAATTGAGACCAAATTGGACTCAGTTCGCGGAATACACTCATTTGAAAACTAATCTGGTTTCTGGGAGATACTCAGTTAAGTCGCTCACTTGTGATATACTTCAACTTAATAAAGGACGGGTTATATGACGTTTTAGTTGGGATGATTTTCTGGATATCACGGTTTATTTGCTTGATGAACCAATGCCCAAGAGCAGTCTTGCCTCTCCTGGTTTAAAAACAGCAGTGACCTATCTCACTGGAAAAGACGCATCGAATAAAATTGTGAGCTACTTGCGCGTAATCAAACTATACAATAGGCATGAAGTGTTATTCCAAGTTAGCGCTCCGTGAGCCTCTGTCCACTTTAGGTTCGACATACACTACTACGGCAGTGAAACATCGATGTTGAACACTGATGTCCTGCTGTCGATGATGATGATGATTATACACTACTCTCATCATCCCTTGTCTATTGGTTAGGGGTTATGCTCACCCATTCGTGTTTATCCGAACGAAGATAGCCGGAGGTACGACAAACACACTCGTTTGCATACCAGTTTGGCATTCACGGGCGACTCGCCTGAATCCCGCCAAATCTTTCGTTTATGATGTTCCTTAACTGAAACACGAGACGGTCTGGTGCAGCACAATCATTTGAAAATCATCATAAATAAGAGATTCGGATGAATCATGAAACCAAATTGGTCTGCAAATGAGTGTATTTGTCTATTTTTATGCAATATGTATCGAAGTAGAACAAGGTTGACGGAAAATCGGGAACTGTGCTTACCAGATGAATTCCATGAAGGGCGAGAGCGGTCGTGGACTGTCGAACAGTTTTCAGCAACTTTATGAGTCTCGTGTTACGTCCATATCGGGACAGTCAAATTGGCGTTTTGTGGGGACGGTCATCATATCCACGCATTCTGCATTATTCACCCGGCAATAAGACACTTTTGCTGTCTCACTGGTCTCTTCAAGATACTTTTCGTCCAGTTCATGCTGCTGTCCAATAGGTAGACGAATTTATCGAGGATTGCTGACGAACTGAACGTCCATGACATAATGGGGAACATGTGTTTGACGCCGTGCTACGGTTTATGAGACCAAAAATATATGGCATAAACAGGGAACCAGTCCTTCGTTTCAGTTTTATGATCAGTGGTAATCATTCAATGTACCTTCGAACATCTGCAAATACTTTGATATTCTCAGTTGGTTTCCGATGACGTTCAAATAAAACATGGTGATATTGGGGCTTCCTTCAAGGGAAATTCCGGATTCTAATCGAGCGATGGACTTTCTCCAAGCTCCATAGCGAGTGACTCACGTAACCCGAGAAAATCCCTTCTTGGATTGTACGAAAGCTAGGATATTCCCACCATTACCGAGACATTGGTTGTCTTGAACATCACTGAACGGGAGTTTCGTCGAGACGTAATCTTCATTTGGTGGAACTGGTGATCCCCATAGCATTTAATTCTTATGGAAAACAATCACCTGTCCCAGCCATTGATACCAGGAAAAATTAACTCCTAATCAGTTTGGTTCTCATCGCAAGATGGTTTAATTGGCATGAACGAGAAGAAGTCTCCACTAAAATCTTACTGATTGGATGTTCGATCGCCCCCAATCGACAGAAAGATTGTCTTAATAGGGTCAAACTTTATTTTCGATTTAGTTAGCGTCTGTAAAGTGCCGTGCGTGCTAAATAAGTAGAGCACTGGTTTCACAGCAAGCTAACCCTGATGAATCCAATTAATTCATGTCCTAGAACAAATATTTGTCATAAGTCGGTAGGCGACCGTTTACTGTATTAAATTGGGCTCTGATAGCATGGGTAGACACACTGTGTCATTGGGAGTAGTGGAGTTCCAAATTTTTCAAGAGGCTTTGGGGTACTAGAAAGTGGTTCCCTGAAATTATGGCAAGTGTTGTCCCGTGCATGAAATTAGTTGTTAATGTTTTAAACTGAGAAGTTCCATTTTGCGAGATGTCATATACTCCGTGCGAGTTTTTTTTCTGTGGTTAGTCTCAGGCTCGTTCATCCGTCCAAACTGAAGTAGTATGAACATACCTGACCACCGATCAGTCATGATGTAGGGTAGCAAGCCAAGCAGTAGAGCCAACCGAAAGAACAACCAGTCATAAGTGAAAGTCAGCACTGGTTGTCAATACGTATATTAACACGCACAACCAGTGACGCTTCGCGCCCGGACAACCGGCCAATGAAATCATATTGACTGGTGATGAAGCGTCAATAATTGATGTACTTAGCTCGGCGGACAATTCGATGACCTTTTGTATTATCTGAGCCTGCAACATTTTTCTCCAAGAAGATTTTGTCCTGTATGTGATGATCCATGCTATACAGCTGCTTCATACACATTCGAACTCATCAGCCTTATTAATCTCACTCAAATCCAGGGGGTCTCGGACCCAGGATCTGCCAGCTAGTCTTTTAGATGTAACCATTCGACCATGAGCGCCTGATCGACGGTGCGATTCACTCGCACTTGAACTGCATATAGTGCCACTCATCCTTCAGTCATGGAATCCACACGTGACGTATCTAATTGGCTACAAGAGTAAAGCCTTCTCAGATGTGTGGTTCACACGTCGTGGATTGAGGACTGCTGAGCTAAATTAATCGCCATTATTAGTTAGGGACCACCTAATGATCAGGTAAATATTATAGACGGTAATATGCGGACAGCTGGAAATCACAGGAGAATTTCCTGCAACATCAATTAGTCGACCTAGTTAAGGCGGAAAACGAACAGGTATCGCCAGTGCGATTCCGATTCATCATCCTTCGTTGATCAAGATTCTCGAATTGTCACACCGTAAATCAAGGTAAATCAAGGTTATATTGGTCTAAAAAGCATTTTGCTTTACAATGACCAAAGGATATTGGTGTGTGTGTTGGCAAACAGCGCAATGACCGTGAGGTGATTGTTCCATGATTGGATGAGTCAAGGTCTCGGTCGGGTTTGGCACGGCCGTGTTCTTTGTGTGCGCAGCGGATCGCGTTGCGCGTTTGCACGTGTTGGTCGGTTGGTTCGACGTATGCGTGGGTGTGGACGCTTTGCGGTTCTTTGTCGGCCTGGTCGCCTGCATCGGGTGAGCGGATCGTGTGTGCGGTTTCGACACTGGCAGGGCAAGTGGGGTAGCACGTAGGATGAATTTCGGCGGATGTATGAAAGCTGGTAGCTCGCGTAATACTTCACCGATCTTAGTGCAATTTGCTGCACTAGATAGAACTCGTCGTCAGCTTTCTTCTAGTGTAGAAACGGGATAACGGCCAATAAAACTGGGTATACTTGTACGCGTGGATGTGGAGGCCGCGTACGTTGTAAATCCGTTAGTCGTGAACACCGTAAAAAATTTTCACAGATGAATATAGATGGTATATTCCAATAGATCTCCCAAAGAGAAATCGAATGGTATGTCGGTGAGCGTTGTAGGACAAAATAGATCCGAGAAAACTGTATCGGAGTCGGAGCGCCAAAAGATGCGACTGCACAGCAGGTCCGAACGTGTACAGTAGTCCATAATGAACATGTGAGATTGGATTATATAACCTTTTTAGAGGTGCCCTATCTTCGACGGTTCATACGCTAATTCGTCGGAGGGTCAGGAGTGGTTGTGCAGACTTCCAAGGAGGACGTTCATCCTCTTCGAAGAAGGATGAATATTGATCAGGGATTAAGCGATCACAACTCAGGCGAGTAAGTTTACCTTTAGAAGGCATGTAGGTGAACGAAATATCAAAATGTTTGTGTGTGTGCACGGGAATGATGTACCTACATGCTGTTTCGAGATTTCTCGCATTCCCAATTTAACAGATTGACAGTCTATCTGCATTGCTCCTGGGAAATTCTACAATCCTGTTAGCACGCAGTCACGTGATCATTTTAAGAAATGAAAGCAGCTGTACTCTCGGAATTCTACCACCACCAATTAGTGTATGTGAAATCTGAGAACATTGATCGTTGGTTTTACCACAAAACGCAAAAGTGCATTCCACAGTGCACGCACTGCGTAGGCATGTCCAGCCTATGCGCGACGTGTGAAGAATGGATGATTAATTAGCTATTTTCGCCCGAGAAAAAGAGCAGTATGGATTTACCACCAAAGACTGGCTTCTAGAATGAGTGCACCGCAGCCTCGGCAAACAGATTGAATATTAGAATTCATAGTTCTGTATGAATGGATTTGGTTGTTTGGTTGGAGCGCGTTATCACTCAACTTGGCGCTACTCAGTTTGACTTTGAGTGTTTAGTTTTCTCATCAAACGGTGCACTTCAGAGCTGTAGGGATTTCTTACCTAGGAACACATCATATTCTTGGTTAAGAACGCAGTAGCTGTGCTTGTCTTGGTGATGATGGTCAAGTTCGTCGCCAGCCGTCGACATTCTCAACATCGGTCGGTGCGTTTGGGCCAATACCGTCCAAGTTTTAAGCATAAATGTTTTAACGCCACTTGTGTACCAAAAAAACCACTGAAATTTGTCATTTTGTCAGTGACTGTAATACTAGTGTGTTTATTCGTTGAAGTTTTAACGATTAAACGGGAACAAGATATTGTCCCCTGAAGCGGGAATCCAGTTAACATGTTGCGAAAATGTCAGCATCTGAGCATCAAATCACAAACTCAGCCTAATTCCTTTCCAAGGTAATGCTCTACACAAATAACTTGACAAACTGGTAGAGCAGTGAAGCGCCACTGGTTTCCTCTTGTGTTTCTGCTGATTATGACGATGCCATTCGTTTTGGTGTAGCAGAGTTAGTTCTGGTTGTGCGCTGTTTAGCATTCAACGGGGTTCTTTTCACTTACAAAATGAACTCAGTCAATGAACCCTCAAGCACCTGTGATCCTAATAGTTGGTCTGATGTGGTTGATTTCAGTCCTATTCATCTATTACAGGGTCAATTATACGGAACTTTACCGAAATCGTAGTCCACATGCACGCACACCATTCTTTGGCTCAGCCAAGCTTAAACTTAGCCTTTTTAGCAAAATACTTGAAAGCGGTTACGTTAACTGGCCAATCTGGTAAACATATTCATGTTCATAGTTAAATACTTGCCTATGCGGCGTTGGTTCTAATTGTTGTTTTTCATTGACAAGGTTTAAGGTTGACAGTCCGTCTTTATAACAGCGTTCATATTCGAATGTAAATCATCGGATACACGTACCACATGATCTAATCTATTCTCATCCTACTGTTGCCCGTTATCGCCTCATTCTCCCTTTGTTGACACACAGCACAATTCTCTGTTTCGACCCTCGTCACTTCCATACTTTTATTAGCCTTTTCACATCAGTCAGATCGATTTGTATTCACCACATATGAGAATGATGTAATTATAGCTTTCCGTGGTGATAAGGGCTCCAAAGCCTCATGGGTATTACCTGATCTCCAAAACGGTTCTTCTTCCATGCCGGTATGCAGTTTTGTCTGCAAGTATTACTCGCGCAATCGATGAGCTATCGACTTAAGTATTGGGATGGCTATCATACAAATTAATAAGACCACTAGTAAAGAGCCTCCCGATCAACCAAGGTACTTGGGCACAATGAAGGTAAAAGCGGGCAGATATAAAGTGTTTGCACGTTTTCAAGATGATGTCTAAAGGCTAATGAGTTCTCACTCAAAGCAAACCCAATCAATGCTCACGCATCAACAAATGAATGAATTTGATTTGTACTTCAGACAAAAGTGTTCACTGGCCGATGGAACGAGTCCTTAGCTCGACAGTCTAACTACATATCTGCATAATTTTTCAACCGTCCTGGATAATACACACTGCTTCCGAATGATAACCTGAATGTGGTCTGCCTCAGGTTCCTCTGAATTAATTACTTCTTCTCATGCCTCGAAATCATCCTACATAATCGCAAGCGATTCTTGCTGCAAATATATTGATCGATTAACTATCAATACTGAGTGTTATTCTTTTTAGCGTCGATCGCATCGAGGAAGTCAAGTCGGCAAAATTAATCAAAAGCGGATAATTTAACATTTGGGATCCCAAAATCTCAATAACCACTAAACTAGTGAGCGGTGAGTCAACTGATTCGACAGAATGACTGGGCT